ATTTTTTCTGAGTGTTCGATCTTTGTATTAATAATTATAACAAATTCTTGTTTGTTTACTAGTTACGATTAGTTTTGTCGGTATATTCAGTATATTCAGACTAGACTAATTTTAATGCAGCCTAGTTAGTCGCTGCAATTTCATTAATTTTTCGGTACTTTATTATTTCCATTTTAAGCAATAAGCGTCAATTAAATTTAGCGAGGCTTTATTCAACAAGAAGACTTTCGAATTTTTAGCCGTTGCATTTTAATGACAGATTTTATTATGATGCCAAGTGGCGGTAGGAACAAGTCGTGCGCCTGTTGGTAAGCAACACACCTGTCCATAGCTATTGCACTACCACTCAGAGCTTTAAATCGCAAAGATCTGAAGGGCACTGCCACTGCGCCTGTCACCCTGAGGCAAAGTTGACTAGGCTAATGCTCATTATTGCTTGGCGGCAGAAATAGGTAAGGTAACAGCACTTCCCTGGGCGAAGTCTTTCACAAGGAGGTCTACGGCTACTGTTTGCTAAATATGATTAGTTTTGTCAGAATTTTCTGTTCATTTTTCAGTAACTCATTTTAACAACTTAGTATTTACTCTTAGCCTTAGTTCACTTCAATTTCATTTGTTTTTCGGAACCTTTATTATTTCCCTAGCAATAAGACTTTTGAACTTTTAGCCGCTACATTTGAACCAAAGATACGCTATATGAGGCGTTTCGTTAGCTATTAACGTTTATTCACGTCAGAAATCTGTAAAATGAACTTGCCCACACACGTATATGGAGTTTTCTTTCTGAGAACAGGTGTTTGCGGGGAGCGCAGTGCGGCGCGGGGGCATCCGACACACTTTTTGAAGGGCTCTAAACTCTTTTGTGACTACCTTTATGACCAGCTATCTATTCGTGGACCTTTGATTTATCACAAACAGTAATGTTTGGTAACTTAGATAAGAGAAATGCTCCATAAAAAATGAAAATACGGTGTAGGAATTGATTTTACGCAATCATTGAGTTTTGTGATGAACCGACACTAGTAGGCAGTATTTATTGGTAATGATTTGTCTAATTGGTCGCTGTTTCAATAGCTTGCTTCTTTTGCTTCGTAAAAGACATGACACAATACATTTTTTAAGGGAAATTCTCGGGAAAGTTTGTAGGGATTTCAGAATAATTTACACTTGTATAGATAAAATTCTTGTATTCAGTAGTTTTAACAACTTTTGTAAATTCACAGTAAACTTAGGCGATTTATCAACAAATGGACGTTTTAGTTAGTCATTAAATATTTTGAGTAATTATCGAGTTCTTAGGGTTTCGCGTTTGTTACATATTGGGAACGAAACTAGTTTTTTCGAACAAAGAAAGTTTCGGGCCTTTACTGAAGGTCTACCACCAGATATGATACTACGTGACTACGTCCGCAACGCTCATACGTACTATACAAATGTCAGATTTACGATGAAAGTAATGTCAAAATTCGATACGATGCCTGTCATATGACGTCTCGGAGTAAGTTATCCACAAATACTTATGTCAAACTACGATGCACGATCTTCGATTGTTACTTCGTATTTCGTATCAGACCTCCAGGTTCCATGGTCACCTGACTGTTACCCGTTGTCAGAAACGTTGGTTTGTATGAAAAAACAAATATACGCGATGTAGATCATAATAATAATCTCAGTACAGAGTACTAAAGAAACCGACCTCAAAAGTTATTCGCCCCCTAGTTTGGCACCCTTAGAGGTGGATTATTTTTTCTTCAAATTTAAATGGGAACACTACTGAGGTACCCTCTTTTAAACAAAATAAAACAATCATCAAAATAGGTTCACGTGAGTTATCGAGTAACATACATACAAGAAATAATATAATCGAAAGAACCTCTTCCTTTTTTTGAAGCTGGTTAAAAATAGTGTCATTTCGCATATATTTTTGCAAGATGCATTAACATTTTAGTATAAGATTTTAACTTTACAGCTAAGTGGGAAATACGAGGCCGATAATGGATGTCAATATTTCCAAACGAATTACTTTTGTAATATATACGTGTACATGTATGTATTGTACAGAATATTTTTTATTACTTTTAATTATTATTTATTATTATTCTTAATAATTATAACTTTATTAAAAAAACCGGCCTCAAATGTTAGCTCTGCTTTCGCTGTGTTCGTCACCTCAACGACAACTGAAACGCATAATATGGAAGTCTGCGTCAAAACTAACATATGAGCACAAACACAAGGTAGCTGCTGTACACTGTTGAGGAGTTCCTCTCATCTGTCTGTCTTTTCCATCATCAGATCAGCTCTATGTCACCGTTATATTTTACTTTTATTGGAATTACATCTATGTGCCAAGTTCAATTGAAATTGTTTGACAGAAAGTGGATGAAAGTCAACAAAATGAATTCATTCCCTAATTTGCCACACTTAAAGTGGTTACACACGGCGATTTTTAGCAGCGATGCAATCGCGCGACTCCATCGATACAAACGCGCGATTGCATCGATACAAACGCGTTTGCATCGCGTTTGTATCGCGTTTGTATCGCGTTTGTATCGCGTTTGGATCGCGTTTGTATCGCGTTTGCATCGCTGCTTAGACGATTAGTGACCGTGTTGCTACTGCATCGCTGCTAAAAGTCAGCGTGTGTAACAGCTCTTATAGGTAGAATATATTCTTCACATTTGAATGGTACCACTGCTGCAGTACCCCCCTTTCCACATAAAAGAATCATCGAAATTAGTTCTCAAATGTTCGAATCGCTTAACATAGACAGTAAAAGGGTTCGTCGTTCTTGTTTCAAAGGGTAAGGGTGCTGATGAAATTACAGGCACATGGGACTTGTCAACTTATGTCTCAGGGTGACGGCCCCAGTGGCATTGCCCGTAAGATCTTTGCGATTAAAAGCTCTGAGTTTCACTGCAACTGCTATGA